TAGGTGCAACATGAAGACAGATGTATGAGGCCAAGCATGGTGAAAGGCTGAGGCAGGAGGATCTTGAGTTTGAAGCCAGTATGAGCTACATAGCAAAACCTTATTTCAGAAAACAAGAACAGGGCCAGGGGACAGTCATCAGTTAAGAGGGACGCACTGCTCTTGCAGAGGACCAAGGTTCCATTTTCAGAATCCAGGTGTGTGTGTGTGTGTGTGTGTGTGTGTGTGAGAGAGAGAGAGAGAGAGAGAGAGAGAGAGAGAGAGAGAGAGAGAGAGATGCTTCTAGCTTCAGGTGTGTGTGTTGGGGGTGGTGGTGTCACAACTGCATCTAACTCCAGGTGTGTGTGTGTGTCTGTGTGTGATCACAGTGGCTTCTAACTTCAGGTGTATGTGGGGTCATGGGGTCACAGCTGCTTCTAACTGCCGGGGTGTGTGTGTAAGAGAGAGAGAGAGACAGAGACAGAGACAGAGACAGAGACAGAGACAGAGACAGACCGAGAGAGACAGAGAGAGACAGAGAGAGAGACAGAGAGACAGGAGGGGGGCTGCTGCTTCTAACTGCCAGGGTGTGTGTGTGTGTGTGTGTGCGTGGTCACATCTGCTTCTAACTCCAGATGGAGGGCCTTTCTCAGTCTTTTCTAACTCCAGATTTAGCAGATCTGAGGCCTCTGGTCTCTACTGTCACCTGCACTCACTGTGAGAGTGTGAATGTGGGCACACACAGTCACACAAATAAAAACCAAAATAAATCTTTAACCTTTCCCAAAAAAACTAGAAAACACAAGCCTTTGTGGAAATCTTACAGTTCTAGTGAAAAATTTTTACTTTTTTTTTTAATAGCAAAATGTGAAGCTTTCTCAGAACAGTAAGTCCAAACTGTACCTTTGTCCTGAGAGTCAACATCTCTCATGATACATTCATAGTAAAATGCAACAAAACAGTTTCCCATCTATGTTTTCTTTTAGTAGCAAAAATATCTAGCACATTAGTCAGAATAAAACTGTTGGGATTAAAACACATGGAGAGAATTAGTCCATCATCCAGTGTCTCCATGCTCCTTCATTTCAGAACGTGTCACCCCAGAACAAAGTCAGGCATTAACGCTGTCCTCCGGGCGCCAGTGGAGGCCAAGAGCCACCAGTGGGGTGATCTACTCCTGGCAGTCAGTCAGCTGTGTATTGTTGGTAGGGATTTAAGAACAATAATAAAACTGTCTGCAGGTCTGTCTGCTCTGTCTTATTAGAATGGCCTGCTGTTCTCGAATAATTTCAGTGTCTCCACTGTCATCTGCTGGGGTAGTTGGGTCCCTCTGTCTGCACCCCCACTATTAAGTCATTATCTGGCACCCCAAGTAGAACAGATATAGAATAAGGCACAGTCATCAATACAAGAGACTTTAAGATGTCCTGAAATTAATCTGCATATAAGGTTAGAGTCCTGCATGGAATCTGCCTGACCCCAAGACGCCAGGCACTGGTGAGCAAGTGTATTCTTAGAGAGTGTTTACCAGACAGGGGTTGAAGATAGTGATGTTTGACCCAACTCTGCCCCTCCTTCTACAGAATTGTACCCTTGCTGGGGAGATAGAAGTTAAGAAGGAAAACAGAAGTATTGGTCTTGGTTGGAGAGCTGAAAGAAGGCATTTGCTAGGAAGTGAAAGCAGAACCTCACCAAGTCTGCTTGCTCATCAGGAACTAAGAGGCAACCATGAACAAACAAGACATTTTGCTGACAGGCAGCTGGTCCCTGGACCTCTCAGCCCTTTAGAGTAAGACCCATCTTGGGGCCACATCTGCTGAGCACTGCACAGTGGGTCAGTGTCCTTTTGATAACTGTGGATACCTTCCTCAGACCAGTGGTTCTTAATTCTGCTTGTAAACTGCTGTCATCTGAGAGCTTTCTATTATTCAGTTTTGTTTTTCTGAATTTATAAAAAAAACTACATTCTGAACCCTATGCTGGACCAGTTAGATTAGATCTGTGGAAAGGCAGGAAGTAAGAGTCAGGAACCCGTATTGTTAGCAAATAGAAAACAGCCCACCAGGACTGTAGAGAGTTACTGCCTAGTTGAATGCACTTAATTCCACTTAGTAATAACTTGAAATTTCATTTTAAAGCTTCATAATGCAAGTGGGGTGGCTGTGGTGAGAGGTGTGTGTCAGTGCACACATGCACACAGATATTAGGACGAGGGCCTGCGTTCCTTGGACTTTGTGTATTCTCCATTCTGTGCAGAACAAACTTCCAGCTAGACATTTTCTTTTCTTTGCTATCTATCTATCTATCTATCTATCTATCTATCTATCTATCTACCTACCTATCTACCTATCTATCTGTATACACATGCACCAGTGCCTGGTCATAGTGCATTTTTAGACAACCTGGGAGTCATTTCTCTCCTTCCACCATCTGGGTCCCAGGGATTAAACTCAGGTCTCTAGCCTTGGCAGTAAATGCCTCGTCCACTGAGCCACCTCGGTGGCCCTGGAGGACAGGAGTTCTTGGACTCTGGAGTCAGCCTGAGTGTCTGAATGAGCTGCTGTAGGTGAACCCAACGGCTCTACAAAGAGACATGTTTCTGGCTTCTCTTTATTTCCCAACGTCCCCGATGCTCCCCATTCTTTTCTGTTTCTGCCTAACGAAGCCTCCTACTCATAAGGCTTGGTATGAAACCTATCAAGCAGCCTCGACTCTCAGATAATCGGACATCTTTGTCCTTTAAACACATAAAAAGCATCGGGAACACCTTGCATGTAAGTGGAATGAATATATTTCTGCCTCTTATGTTGAAAATACCCGGAGGCATCTGGTGTGTATGAATGTGTATACATAGTACATGCATAATAAACATATTCCACCTTATGAATATTTATACTCAAGATACATATATATTGAATATAGACATACATATGTAAATAGTAGCCCTTGTAAACGATATGCAAATTGCGCTTCTGAGCATATGTATCACAGTGCATCAGGAATATAATAAACCTACTAGGAAGCAAGACAGATCTCGAGGTGGTGTTTTCAAAAGTTGTTTACGATAGGGTCTAGTTACTATCCGGATACGTGCAACTCACTGGACGTGGCCATGTTACTTGAAGTAAATGTGGTTCTTTCCTTTAAGAGTCGGTACCTCACACAGAGACTTAGAATTTTAATATGAAGAAGTTAATGTGGGGCCACCCGTTGGCATCTCGAAGCTTGCCCCAGCTCCCTCCTTGAGTTCCGTCATCCCACACAGTGACATCACTGCAGACGAGTCCTGCTGCAGTGGCAGGGAGCATCAATGGCTCCAGTTGACCGTCCAGCCAGAGGCCACAATGCTTGCTTCTTTCTCTGTCACATATGGCCTATCCTAGAACACATTTTTAATTTTACTCTGGCTTTATAGGGGATAACAGCATCATGAAAAGGCTCTACCTCACCAAAATGTTAATTAAAAACACATAAAGACGAGACCCAGGCAGAGCAATCCCTTTCCACGCAGACTCGCCATAACTCAACCACTCCTGACCATGTCATTTCGTTCCTAGGTTCCACCTAGAGCCCTCATGACGAGTAGCAGAAACCTTTTTTAGATACAAGTGGTGCAATTTTCAAGCGTGCAGAGTATCTATGGATTCCTTTTAAAACGACAGCCTACAGCGTAGCTGGGGAGCTCCGAGTGACACTTGTCAGGGCAGATTTCACTCTGTCAGAGAAATGATACGTAAGCACTGTCACTGCTGTGTCACTGACTCGGCTCACTGCCCCTCCCCCCTCCGACCCATATATCACAACAGGTAGTTCTCAGCTGTTCCCTTGGTGCCAGACATACATTTTATCTAAAGAGACAGCAGACAGAGCTACCTGCTGCTTCCTGTGCGGCTCTCCCTGTGTTTCTCTCCTTTTTCCTACTTCATTGGGGCTTTTAAAAATCAGCTGGCAGGGAGCCAGGAGCTCATCATTTTAATGCAGTGCAAAATGGAATATACATAATTATATGCAGGCCATATGTGAGGGAGGCAGGCTCAGCTGTGGATTTCAGGAGGCTGGGAGAGATAGAGGCAGAGATAGAGATAGTAACAGAGAGAGATGGAGGGAGGGAGAGAGACAGAGAGAAGGAGAGAGAGAAGGGAAGAGAGAGAGAGAGAGAGAAAGAGAGAGAGAGAGAGAGAGAGAGAGAGAGCGCAGTTAGGGCTAAGAGGACGTGAGGACTGCAGGATGCAAATGCCCCCCTCCACGAATGGATTAATGAGTGTACTTTGGACACGCCCCTTTCACCTTCCTCTCCCTCACACTAGCTCCAAACCAGAAACCAATGGAGATTAGGAAGAGAAGACTTCCATGTGTGTTGCTGGCGAACACTGTGAAAGCCTCTGTTGGAACAGCAGCTTTCCCAACTGACAGTGTAGATCAAAATAACCAGTACCTGTCAATGCAGCTTCTTAAGTCAATCTATTTTTTTTTTACTTCATCTAATAGAAGAATCATTGTTCTTATGAGATCACTGATCCTTTCGGATCTTTATTTAAAAATTGAGGGAATCAATTTATCTCTAATAATATTACAGTTCAAAATATAACTATGCACATTGCTTTTCTTATGGCCTTGCTATTAGAATTTCTTTAAAAATGTTCTATCTAGAGATTGCTTAAGCATGCCAAAACGTTTAAACACGTATGTATGTCACAGACTCCTAACCGTGTGAGGAACTGTGTCACTATGACACACAAGTGTTGGTGACACCCACCAAAATCAGTTGATTTGGGTCTGCTTTGTGTCCTTTGAGCTATTACGCCATGATGAATTTGCATGTTGAAACTAAACAGAATAAAGAAAAACAAATCTCAAATTTTGATACCTAAAAGGCATACTGCGTATTTAAACAAACTTCTTAATAATGTTGTTATTTCTGGATTCCCATTTGTTTAATGATCTAAGCTGTTATGCTTTTAGCTTTTTTTTTCCTTCCATTATTTGTAAGTCCCTAAATAGGCCATTATATCTCCCTTCAGGCTAGAGATGAAGATGGACGTGCTGAAAGTTTTCCCCAGCAGCACTATGCTAAGGAAACTCCAAGGCTTGCCTTCAAGAATAACTGCGAACTACTTGTAAGAATAACATACTTACGACAAGTCTAGAATGTTACTTTAGCACAGTGAAAACAGTTTTTTTTTGCAAGGGTTTGTTCATGATTACATAATTTATGAAATATTATATTTTTTCTGTATAGAGTTCTAAGTGCTAATTCTGATATCACTGCATATTAATTATAAGATCTCGAGTTGTTTGCAAATCTATTATATCTGATTTTAAAGCGTGAATGGCCCTTTCTTTATTAGCTTGTTTTGTATTGTAGTTTATAAGCAGCCACTGGGAGAATGGCTAGTAAAGATAAAAATATAACTTCGATACATAGAGCTTGAAGAAAACCCCACCCCACCCCACCCTTCCTCCTACGCCCGAGACGTGTGCCATTGTAGCAGACAAAGGTGGCTGAGTTTGCTTCTGAGAGGAAAGAGAGCCGGTTTGACACACAGCACTCCCTTTAGGATTCAAGTATTCCTCCACTCTCTTGCCAAACTCTGTCTCTCCCCTGCAGAAGGCTTAGAAGTAGTGACAGGATGGGGGATGTTTACTGGGTGGGGGAGTGGGGGGTGGGGGACATCAGCTGTGAGGAAGCTCGGTTCCAAAGCAAGGTTAATTTGCTGTTCGTTTTAGCATTTACAGCGAGACAAGATGAAAAGCAAGCAGGAATGCCTATTATATTTCTATTAAATGAATCTGTTGGGACCTTACATTCTTGATTAGCTTTTGAAAATCAGTGCTCAGCAATGCATTTTCTGTTTACCTACAGTAAACAGAGAATGAATTGTCATTTATTTGGCCAGTCAAACGCTGCTTTTGAAAATGAAGCTTTCGGAAGGATCTAGCGTGTTGTCCCTAAATGTTCTTTTCTTTTCAATTGCATTAAAGCAAAACATTTGCTCCAACTAAATGAAAACAGGGGAGAGGACGAGTATGCTCAGTCGCTAACGTTTGAGGTAGCTTAATTTCTGTTTGGATTTTTGGCCAAACGTAGATCCTTGCCAGGTCTCTGAATCAGGAATTCCCACGAGTGACAACCTTTGGGTTTGGCTCTGACAGTAACTGTTCGTTAAACACAAAGTGGCCAGAGAGCAGGAGAGTGAACAATACAGGCCCTTACCCACTCCAGCTGCAGCATCTGCACGCAGACAGACAGCGAGAATCTCCTTTACACAGCACAGCAGGCCCGGTCACAACAGTGCCACTCAGCCTATGTGTGCACTGCCCTTGACCAACTACGCTGCAGGCAGACTCGCGGCTTATAAATGCAGTTGTTGGCATGAAAATGTAACTTGCCTGATATTTTATTTGAGGGCTCTAAACCATCCAGGTCTGCTGTAACATTTTATGTTCTGCAGGGTATTTTCACATTGCTTTTAATGCTGTCTTGGTAACTGTGGTCACCGATGTCTGGGAGGGGGAGAGCATTTGTGTTGTTTTGGGATCAGAATGCTTTTAGGAGTGGTTTACTTCTTTTAGAAAGATTGTGAAGACTAATACAGCATCTTTCACTTTCCCCTATGTATTGGAAAAGTAAATGTGCTTGAGAGTATACAGGAGAAAAAAAAATTAATGTGAACATCATTTACAGATACCTTTAGAGAAAATACATGCTTCTGTTGTTTAGCTTACAGACATACCGAGTTGGCGGTAGTTTTGAGAGGCTTGGTGCAGTCTTCATTGCAGTTGCTGTTAGAAATGCTTAGCTTTGTTCCGAATACTTTCCTGTGATTCGAAAGAAGAAAAAGAAGACAGAAAACACAAATAAGCTTATCTCTCTGAGAAGAAATTAAAAAAAAAAAAAGCCAGCTGTGAGAAAGCAGTGTGTTTGGATGGCGTGAAGGCCTGAGCCGGAATACATCTTTGCCAAAGAATTGTTCATTCTTAAGAGAGAAATAGGAGTTCTTTGGAGTTTTCTTACTATGGCTTGGAGGAGATTGTTAAGAAATCTGACAGAGAGGATTGCAGACTCTGCTGCAAAGTGCCTTTTTAGCTTAAGGGTAGTTCTCGCATCTTCCGTGGCTAGCTGCAGCCCCGGCAGCAGCCAGTCGGGAGAACATGAGAAAAGCTGAGGGCACAGAGGTCTTCCATGTTCCCAGTGACAAGAAGCACACAGCTGGAAGCTTGTCTCTCTGGGCTATAGGAACTGACAGAAAAGGGCCTAGGCCAGGCAGATAGGACATTGACACTATATTATTGATGGCTGAATGTCTCTGTGCCCCCTCCCCTAGCCCACACTTCTTGGAAGAGGCAGGAATATTGAATAACTTATTAAAAAAGAAAAAAGAAAGCACAGTAAAATCAATGCCTGGAATACACAAGTGTGTATGTAATCAGAAGAAACCAACAAAGACAGCATCAGCCGTAGTAGTAGTAGTTCGTGCTGTGCAACTGTGAGTTACTGGAGGGTATTGATTTTTCCATTAAATTCCAAACTATGATGTGTGTGCCTTCACTCTAATGTACTACTATACACGTGACTGGATAGTTAGCCTGCTGACCAAGATTCTCACTTTGGCGGTAACGTAGTGGTTTCTAAGTTAATTTTGGAAGTGCAAGGCTATAAAGACCAGTGATTATATAAACAAGTCCTATGGGTCACCTAGCTCTTCATAGACAGGTGTGTGTGTGTGTGTGTGTGTGTGCGTGTGTGTGTGTGTGTATAAGAGGAGAATTTGCTATATAATCAAGCTGTGACCAAAGGAAACAACGTTCAGTAAAAGCAAGTGTGAGGGATTTGTGTCCATCTCGACACTAACAGCACTATAGCATTCAAGACTAAGGGAGAGCAGTCAGAGCCAGCCATGGCGACCAGCACTTGCACCAGATTCCAGCTCCAGTCCCTTTATGATCACTCAGGTTCTCCCTGGAGGAACAAGCTTGGGACCGCAAAGGTTCTCGTCTCCCCTAATAAAATGCTCATTCAGCGGGTGGGACTGTAGGAGCTGCAGCGAGAGGGAATCCTTAAGGATATTCTGAGTTCATATTTTCTCGTTAGCCAGTTTCTTGTTAGTTCTCAAGAACTGGCTGGGCAAAAATCTTGTAGAAGTAGAATATAAAATTGGGTCTGGGAAGAAAAAGACCTATGACTAGAAGACAACTGAGTCAAAATCCCAACTTGTGTGTGTGTGTGTGTGTGTGTGTGTGTGTGTGCATACGTGCCTGTGTGCTTGTTTGTTTCAAGACAGGGTCTCTCCCCAGAACCTTAGACTCACTGCTTAGACCAGGATGACTGGGTTATCTGCCTCCCACACCCACAGCATGGGCATTCCTGGTTAGAAATCTAGCAAGTGTAAGAAAGCCCTGAGAAGGAAGTGCAGGGGAGAGTAAGCTTGTCCAACTAGGCTTCAGCTTCCAGAATCATCACCCAGAGTCTGGATCTCTACGGCTCCTTCTGGCTGGTAGGGTGAGGGTTGTGAAGAAGGAAAGGAGGGGGGGAGCCCACAGCTGGGAGGGAAATAAAAATAGCATGGGAAAGAATTCTTTCTGGTCACTTACAATGCTAGCAGAGGGAGAAGATGAAGGTTATTTTAGTGATGTGGTCTTGCAGACAGAGATGATGGGGTGAGGAGAGCTTAGCTGACTATTCTATCTCAGTTCCTTGTGGAGGCAGGCAGGTGGGTTAGAAGATGTATATCTCACTCCCCAGCTTCAGAAATGCCGCTGTCAGCCAGCATTCGGCACACAAGTATCTGTGCACCATACTAGATAAGCAGATTGGGACCTGAAATAGGGAAAAGATTCTGTCTCTGTCTAGAATGAATGAGTATCTGGCTCATACCCAGCATGGTCGATCGCCATTAAGTGTGTGGGCTCTTGAGTAAATACGTTATGTTTTGTCCAGTAGATCCAAAGGCATAGGATACATATGACATCACAGTGGATCCAGGCTCTAGCTCTTGGCCTTCTCTGAGTTTCTGGACTGCATATGCAAAGTCTCAGAGGGGATTGTAACTGGACACAGTGGTGTGTTTAGGCTTCCTGTTGTTGATACAGATTAGCTACGCAACTGTGAGTCTCCTTATTGTCGGGGATGCTATTGGTCCGTGGTAAGCCACGTCCTGGGAGAGTGCTGGGAAAGTTCTGGAGTGTGAAGGAGGATGAGACTCTTGCCTCATGGAGCCAGTGCACCGAATGGAAGATGCTTTTGATCTAGGCATTTCTACAGATGGATATTGATTATAGGAATTAGTGTGTAAGGGAAGTGGGTAGAGCGAGCAGAAAGAAGGTGGGTAGGAAAGCGCCTGCCATGTGCCCTGTATCCTACGCAGCATCTCAGCTGAGCGTGGAGAGCACGAGGACTATGGAGAAGGCAGATAGGCAGGTCAGTGGAGTCCTCATTCCTGGCTCGTCCTAGGGAGTCTGCGTTCTGAGAGTTTTACTTTATGCGAATTTAGTGTTTCCATAGACTAAATATTACGATGGAAAATTTCTAATGCTCAAAATTATATGAAAGTCATGATGTATCTATGTGTTTTCCCCTGACTTGAACACTCATCAGCTAGAGACTAATCTTGCTCACCTGTCCCTTTTCTCTTGATATCCTATTGTGATGATGATGGTGGTGGTGGTGGTGGTGGTGATGGTATTTTAATTGAGATAGAATTACATTGCTTTCCCCCTCCCATTTCTCTCTCTAACCCTTCCCAGGAAATCCCTCCAACCTCTTCCATGCCCCCCTCGAGTCAATAGCCTCTTCTTATTTTATTATTAGTGTTATAAACACACACACACACACACACACACACACACACGAGCACACACACACACGCGCGCATGCACATATACTCTGCTATATCATGAGCACACACACACACACATGAGCACACATACACAAGCACACACACACGTACACACAAGCACACACACACACGAGCACACACGAGCACACACACACATGAGCACACACACATGCACATGATAATCTGCTATATCTATTTTTGCTGTTTATACATATATGGTTTCAGGGCTGACCACCATTACTCTGCCCTGGACAACCAATAAGGAATCTTACTGCCTAATT